AAGAAAGAAAGAAAGAAAGAAAGAAAGAAAGAAAGAAAGAAAGAAAGAAAGAAAGAAAGAAAGAAAGAAAGAAAGAAAGAAAGAAAGAAAGAAAGAAATAGGAAGGGGGAGAGAGAAAAAACAACTGTGCTATTATTTTTAATTGTTCCATTATTTATCATATATTAATATTTTACACTGTCCTTACACCGAGAGTGATTTTACTGCCTTTCTTTTGCCCAGGTATTTTTCAGGGTTTATATGTCTATAGTCCAGAGCATAAATACATGTGTGTTTAACAGTTGAAAGTGACTATGGAGGTATTCTAGTCCAACCCCCTGCTCAGGAAGGAAAACTGAGGGTGCCAAACTCTGAGTAGAAATCCAGGGAAAGGTGTCAGAATAATACTTAGAAGGGACCTTGGGGGGAACCCTATACCATTTCAGAGAAATGGCTGTCCAGTCTTTTCTTAAAAACTTCCTGTGATTGAGCACCCAGAACTTCTGGAGACAAGCAGGTCCACTGTCAAGAAGTTTCTCCTTACTTTTAGATTGCTTCTCTGTTCAGTTTCCATCCGTTGCTTCTTGTTTGCTTTCTAGTGCTTTGGAAAATAAATTCCCCCCCCCCCTTCTTTCTGGCAGCCCCTGAAAAGCCTGTTATCTATCACATTCTTGGGCAAAGCATGTGAGCCATTTCCTCCTTTCAGTGGTCCATAAAAGTACATCTATAGTACATAGATATTAAAGTCAAAAAAGGGTGAACAACATTTTACACAACTATAGATAAGTTGAAGCTGGGTGTGACAAGGAATCACTACGAGGGGAGGGGCCTGGGGAGGCATGCCTTGATGTGACATTGAGTTGACCACACCCACCCAGTCACATGGCCACCAGGCCATGCCCACCCAGTCACATGACCACCAAGCCACACCCAGCCAGTCACATGACCACCAAGTCATGCCCAGTCAGCAAGCCACACCCACAAATTAAGCCAAGCCCACAGAACCGGTTGTTAAGAAATTTGAATCCCACCCCTGGATATAATATTCCTTGAACATTTTTTATCTAATACGAATGTAATCATTTATTACAGGACTTGTATTACCAGTCATATTCACAAGTAGGAGTGATGTTTGCATCCATACCAAATTTCAATGATTTTTACATTGAACTGGATGGTAATAATATGGGAGTAGAATGTTTACGCCTGTTAAATGAAATTATAGCTGACTTTGATGAGGTAAGAACTAATTTGTCTTTTCTATTACCATTGGGTCTGTGTCTCTCTTGCTCTTTCTTGGCCAAATCTCCCTCACAGGGTTATTGTGGAGAAACAGAGCTACTAAATATGTTTGGAAATTGAAATTATAATAATTTATAAGCAAAATTAACTTTAATATTAATTTCTGATAAAATAAACATATGGTCCCTTAACTAGAGAATATTCTTCAGGTTGTTCTGTAAGGCAGGGACTGCTATGGAAAAGAGATGCTTCCTAGTTCTCATTAGAGGAACAGGAGTGTGTCCATCACCATTGGGCCAGTGTAAGTTCTTGATGAACATTCAGACATAATGTGATGAATATTTTGTCAAGGAGCACCACAGTCACACTAAGGGGTAGAGACAAGACCCCACTTAAACAATGACTCCTGGCAGACACCATGTTGGGTACGGATCCTGTTCAGAGTTGACCAATGCTGGCAAGTAAGGTCAAAACCTGGCACCTTTTGTGTACAGTCATCTATGTAACTGACTGTATCTGGATGTTCAGTAGCCCATTTGGCTTTCCACTGTGAATTGATATCAAAGTTGTTAGACAGCTGTTGAGAGAGTGCCAGAGGGCTTCCTGGATTTAAGCCTGCCAATTGATAGATGAGAAAGATCAGTATGCACAGGAAGAAGTGGATTTGGTTTTCATTGTGGCACAAGTGGCACAACTCTTTACATAATCCTCAATGTCTTGCTGCATTTTGGGTCACCAAAACTAGCCTCTGACCATATGTAGGGTTTTTAAATATCCAAAATGTCCTGCTTGCTTTGAGTCATGACTTTTCTGAAGAACATGATGTAACATTTTGGGGACATATAGCTTAGACCCCTTCCATGCTACACCCTCCTTTATAGTTAATAGAACCTTATTTTCTTGATACCAAGTACCTGCTGTTAAATCATTTTGCAACCTCCTAGTCATTTCTGATTTATCTTTGATTTTTTGGGTTTGAGCTTATGCCTGTGTGATGATTGAACGTCAAAATGGGGTTTTCTAGACAGCACGTCTGCTAGTAGATTCCCCCCCCCACACCTTGGGAGATACTTCAATTGGAAATTGAATCTTTTGAAGTATTGAGTCCATCTAACTTGTTTAGAAGTGGGTTTCCTGGGTGTTTTTAAAGCTTCTAAGTTTGTGTGGTCTGTCCACACTTTGAACAGAATATTGCTGCCCTCTAAAAACTGTCTCCAAGTTAGTAAAGCCCAACAAACTGCATAAGCTTCCTTCTCCCAAACAGCCCACCTTCTTTCATTGTGAGTTTTTTGGAAGTATAGGCGCAAGGTTGTAGATCTCCTTTTTCATTTTTCTGGAATTGATGTCAAAATTGTTAGACAGCTGTTAAGTGAATGCCAGAGAGGGCTTCCTGGATTTAAGCCTGCCAATTGATAGATGAGAAAGATCAGTATGCACAGAAAGAAGTGGGTTTCTCATAATTTTGCTGTACTCCTTCACTAAGGCTTGTTGCCTTCGTAGAGCTGGTGGTGCAAATGTGGCTGAAGTTGGGGAGCCAGCAAGTAGGAATAGATTTTATGCAACCGCTTATGATCCTCATTGTATCATTTAGTCTAGCACTGATCTTGCTTAGTGTGGCACCTAATAAGCCAAACAGGAGTGCAGTATTCAGCTGTGGAGAAGATCTATCCTAGTGTTGATATTCTGAAAGTACAGGTTGAGGCTCTCCACTCTAGATCCTCTTAATTTCTGGCATACAGATGGGAGGACAGATAGATGTCCTTAAGGGAAGGGTCCTGCAGATAGCCTGGATATATGTCATAGATATCTCTCAAAAAATTTAAAAGGAATTATATTATACAATGGTACAATGCTACACCGTTTAAACTGCAGTCTAGCTTGAATTTTTTTTTTATTTACTTGCTGTTTGCCTCTCATTCAATATCTTCCCATGTGTAGAATTGATTCATGGAATAATAAAACTTAAAGGTTCTATGCCATTTTGATAATAATTAATTGGTAGTTTTAGAACATACAGGACCAGCTATATTTCATTGCAACTGCTGTGTTCTTTCCATATATGCTGTATGTCACCTCATTAAGATGGTACAGATCAGGGAACAAACATCACAAGAATTATTAGGAATCTATTGATAAAGACAGTAGCAATAAAAATCTGAAAGCCTTACAGCTTTTCTCTTAAACCCGCCCCGCTTATGCCAAGAAAAACTAATTCCAACCTTTTTATTTTTTTCAAACCAGGTGCCGTTTTTGAAAGGAATTGTGTAAAGAGTTTTGGGATTCTTTCTGCCTGCCTGTAATCCTTTTGAAAATTGAGCAGAATTGTACCAATTCTGGGGAAGTGGGGGGAGTAGCAAAAGTAGATCAAAGTTAAAAATTATCTAGATGAAATAGAAGGAGCCATTCTGCCCCACCCCCACCCCTCCCACTCCCACATCCCCCCTAGCCTGATTTCCAGTATATCTCCCAGGAGCCTCTGTGGCACAGTGGTTAGAGTGCAGTACTGCAAGCTACTTCTGCAGCCAGCTGCCTACAATTTGGCAGTTCAAATCCCACCAGGCTCAAGGTTGACTCAGCTTTCCATCCTTCTGGGGTGGGTAAAATGAGGACCCAAATTGTTGGAGACAATATGCTGACTCTGTAAACCACTTAGAGAGGGCTGTAATGCACTATAAAGCAATATATAAGTCTAAGTGCTATTTCTACATCACTCCGTGGCATCTCCACAGTAGAAGACATTTGACAATGGCTTGAATTGTTCCTAACATTCTAAGCTCTTCTCCAATGGAGCTGTATATCTGAGAATGAAATTATTATTAAACGTTTGGAGAAAAATTCCAAAACCTGTGTATATTTTCTCATTTTTACTGTATGAAGCAAAAGAAGCAAAGATAAATATGTTTTGCTTGATATGCTGAGTTAATATGCTAATGAAATTATAACAGGATTGAGCCATAATCGTTTTCATGGCCACTGAAATTTTAGATGACATTTGCTATAGGTATGAGGCAGTAAGAAGGATAACTTCTAAAACAGCAGATACACGTATTATTTTTTGTTATCTGAAATATTATGCAATATTTAATACTTTTGTGTTCTAAACAAAGCTTATGGACAAAGAATATTACAAAGACATTGAAAAAATCAAGACAATTGGAAGCACATATATGGCAGCAGTGGGCCTTGTGCCAACTACAGATAGCAAGGTAAATTATCTTCTTTTGGGGTATTTTATTTATGTAATATCACATCTTAAGTTAAGAGTTTGCTTTTAATCTGTTGGTGGAAACTGAATAAAACTATTCATGTTTAACATGAAATCTACAACTCAAAGACATGGCAATATCCAAAGCAAAAGATTTGTGAGAATCTGAAAACAAACAAGGTGATTAATAGAAGACAGCATGGATTTGTTAAAAATAGATCATGCCACACATGATTGCCTTTTTTGATAACCTAATTAAATTAGTGGACCAGAGAAATGTTGTGGACATAATACACTTAGACTTCAGCATGACATTTGACAAAGTAGACCACAACCTACATCTTGCTAAGATAGAACAATTTGCAGTTGGCTTACCAACCACACTCAATAGGTAGTCCTCAAAGGAACTACATCTACATGGAGTGAAGCATGCAATGGGGTACCCCAAGGTACTGTCTAATACCTAGTACTCTTCAACATCTTCATACATGATCTAGATAAAAAGATAAAAGGGGAACTCATCAAATTTGCAGGGAGGAAAAATAATACTTTAGAGGACGGGCTCAAGATCTAGAAGGATCTTGATGGACTTGAGCATTGGGCCCTTTACAACAAGCTGCAGTTCAGTGGCAAGAAAAGTAAAATCCTACACTTAGGTAGGAAAAATAAAATGCATGAGTATAGAATAGGTGATATCTGGCTCAACAATAGTAACTCAGAGGGATCTAGGTATCCTAGTGACCACAATTTAAGTATGAGCCAGCAGTTTGCTGCAGCTTCTAAAAAAGCCAATGCATCAACAGTGCAATAGCATCAAGACAATGAGAAGTGTCAGTACCAACTTATATCATGCTAATGAGACAATACTTGGAATAATGTACATAGTTCTGATCACCATGATAAAAAATGGTATTGAGACCCTAGAAAGTGTGCAGAGAAGAGCAACAAAGTTGATGAAGGATCTGGAGGCTGATTGTTATACATCATACTGTTGTGGGACCTAGATATTTCTAATCTATTGAAGAGAATGATAGTGGGGACATAACTGTCTTCCAATATTTTGAATAGTTCTCATGAAGAAGAGGAATTAACTTATTCTCTAAAGCCAAGAGAAGAAGTAATGGGTGAAAACTTGTCAAAGAGAGATACAACGTAAAAATAACAAGAAATTTTTTGATAGTAAGAACAATTAATCAATGAAATAGCTTGCTTCCTTGGGTTATGGGTGCTCCATCAATAGGGATTTTCAAAAATAGACTGGACAACCATTTGACAGGGAACTATAAGACTCATGTCTTGACCAGAGTGTTGCACTAGAACAGGAATCTCCAACCTTAGCAACTTTAAGGCTTATGGACTTCAACTCCTTGAGTTCCTTCCCAGAGGAAACTTCCTCCCAGAGGAATTCTGGGAGTTGAAGTCCACAAATCTTAAAGTTGCCAAGGTTGGAGATCCCTGCAGTAGAAGACCTCCTTGGCCCCTTCCAGCCATATGATCCTATGTCACTAGTTGCTACAAAAGAAACCAGAAATTTGTAAAACCTATGAACAAATCTATGTCACCAAAGACAAATTGTGCAGCAATAGTAGAGAGAGGATTGCTTGTGTTTTCTAGATGGAAATTGGGTTCTAATCTACTCCCATATACATGCATGTGCACGCACACACACACACACACACACACACATGTATACACATAAAATATACAATAAATATAAATATATAACAAATATAACACACGGACAGGCACACACATGCACACACACACACATCATGTTAACATTTCAGCAAGCATTAATCAGATCAGAGCTAATAAAGCTGAACTAAACAAAGGTCATGTAATCCAGTAATCTGTTTTCTGTCTGTTTTCTGCAGTGGCTAAAAAGATACCTATAAGAAACCCAGGTGCAGGACATGAAATCAATAATTATTAATTCCTGTGAAGCCCCCTCCCGAATAATTTAATCTTACTAAACATGACTAATAATTAACTGCTATTGATACAATAACTATTTGTAAATTTTTATAATCGTCTGAATTTTCCAATCCTAGAGTCCTCACTCTTCTGAACAACAGTTTTGGTCTTGTGAAATTAATTCCTACCCAAAATGAGTATTTAACATTTCTAACCTGTTATGTCACCTGTATATTTATTTATATTTAAAGAGATTCTTCGTCTGTTTTAAAAACTTGTTAAAACTGTGTTACATTAATAGATACAACATTATGAATGACATAAAAAAATTCTTTTTAAAATATAGGCAAAGAAATCGATTTATTTCCATCTCAGTACACTGGCTGATTTTGCAATAGAAATGTTTGATGTTCTTGATGAAATCAACTATCAGTCCTACAATGATTTTGTTCTTCGGGTTGGTGAGTTACATTTTCAAGAATGAATTATATTCTATTACTGTTTCTGCCCGCATTCATAGCAGAGATTTTACAAACAAAATAAATCCTACATTCTGACAGTATATAGCAGCTAATATTATATCTAAATGCTGCATAAATAATTTTCTTCTGTTTAACTTGACAATTGTTAATTGATATTAAAGATGTGGAAAATGCACAGGGATGAATTATCATAATAAGAATAACAGTCTTGTAGAAATTGGAATTCCTTCATTCCTCATTCGTCCATAGGGAGAAGTTTCCAGAGAGATTACGAGAGTCTTTAAGAAAATTATGTTTTAATCTTCAGAGAGATTTTAAAAAAACATAAGCAGCAAAAAGGCACTTCTAAATACAATATGTCTGCAGTGGGAAAGCCAGATATTTTCTCATTGTTCTTCTTCTGTTTATACCACCATCCCCTCCTCCTACTCATTTTCTTACTGTTTGCAAGAAGAACCGAAAAATCAGCTTGGACCACCCTAAACAATTAGCTATTGGTAGTGTCCAGTTATTAACATTCATTTCCTCACCACCATCTCCCCAGAGATTGTGCCAAAGTGGAACTCCTCCTGAAGATAAGCTTAGGCTTATCAAACATGTTGGCAGCTATAATAAAGTTATTCAGGGTTAATTGAACAAGTACTATAGGTCTTTCATTCACAGCCAATGAGTTTTTATTTATTGTTTATTAGTGGAATTTGGGGAAATTATCTATAAACTAGATAATTCGTTTTGTCCCCTGGAAACCTATAGGAGAAGAAAGTCAGCATTCTTCTGTTTACAATTGAGGGTAACTTGGGAATGTCCTATAGACTGGATATTATTTCTCCATTTCAGCTTCTTAATATCAAAAAGCAGTTTCAGTAGAATGGAAATATATCCTTAAAAAGGGATGGGTAGGGGACACAGATACTTCCTTAACCAAGCCCAGTGACTACTAGATTTCATTTTTTAAGTATTTGGCTTCTTTTTCAGGTATTAATGTAGGTCCTGTAGTGGCAGGTGTCATTGGTGCCAGAAGACCTCAATATGATATCTGGGGTAATACTGTAAATGTTGCTAGCAGGATGGATAGTACTGGAGTGCAAGGTAAAATTCAAGTGAGTATTTTCAGAGTTCTCTTATAAATTACATCAATCTTAATAAAATACCCATTGGTTACTTCTCAGAACATAGTAAAGCTTCATCTATAGAAAAATTATTTACTTTATTAATCAAAATTATACATCACCCATCTTATTGTCTGAATGGTTTAAAAATAAAAAACCCATAATATCCCTAAAAAAATAACAAAGTTAAAAAGATGGACAGAACACCCTCAAGCCACCAACCATAGCAAATTCCTCTGTGAAGCCCTGAAGGTAAATTTCTGGCATCCCATTACCCAAGAGGACCAGGTAACCAGGTAATAGAGAAGTGGCACTCTGCAGATGCAATAAGAGGAGAGAGATATTGTTTTGCTGCTCTTACTTCTTGAGATTATTACTATTATAAATTTATTTGCCACTTATCTTGTCATGGAGTTATTCTAGGAGGTTACAACAATAAAAAACAAAGAAATAAAAAGGAAGTTTAAACAAAGTGAAAGTAAAATCATAGAACAATAAAAATAAACAATAAAAATAAAAGAGAAAGAAAACAAAATGCTAATCAATATGACTAGTAAAAAAAAGATGAGCGAGTGGGTTCTTATTCAACAAGAATATTGAACAATTCCCCTGTGATATTAAAAGTTGCAAGGAAAAAAGATGAAAAATCCAAAACCCTCACAGGATTTGAGACAAATTCTATTTGGTGTTTAAAGATAATTATGAAAGCAGAACAAGATTTCCTTTTGAATGGAGTTTGAAACAGCCACAACAAATGCTCTTTTCTCTTTAAAAAAATGAAGTTTAGGGAACTGGCTATTAAAGAAAGATCTGTTATCTAGTAATCACTGGTGACTGAGGTTTGTTTAATTTACAGGTTACGGAAGAAGTACAACGTATATTGAAGAGGTGCAATTATGAGTGTGTTTGTCGGGGGAAAGTCAGTGTGAAAGGCAAAGGTGAAATGCTGACTTATTTTCTAGAAGGAAAGACCGATGGAAATAATTCACAAACACGATCTTTAAACTTAGAAAGGAAAATTTATTCCTATGGGAGAGCAAACATTCAGACCAAATTGGGCACAAGTTGTCCATCTATGTGCTCATCTCCCAGCCTTTCAACAAACACTGGGTCTGGAACACTTCAACCACCAATAGCACATACTAATCAGACACTCCATTATCTTCCTTCTGTGCCAGCTATAAAAGAGGCATGAAATCAGTGAAAATCTTTATCCTGTCATTTGAGATGAACATGTACAGCAGAGGTCATCAGAAAGGTTAAGGCTGCAAAATTTGATAGTAACCAAGAAGTCTAACAATCCAACCAAAAAGAACTTGGGAACCACTAATAAGAACTTACGGGAAGGATCAAATAAGGGCTAGCAATTCTGTTTGAGAAGTCTAATGTTGATTCTCTGAAACTATGGAATATTTTATCAGTAATTTTAATAGATAAATAAGATAACCTGAGATAACAAACCGATAAGACTGGATATTTGCATAAACAACATAACACATATGAATTTGTGTGAGAAAAATTGGGATTGTTCCATTTCCTATTGATTTCCTGCTGTCACAGAGAAATGTTCACAATATCATATAGCCGAGAGAACATTTATATGATCATATCCAGGGTGCTTGATCTATCATTTATAGCTGCTGTTTAAGCACAGGGTGACAATAAATTTGATTTATATGAAAATATAAGAAAGCACTGTAGAATACTTTAAGATAGTATTTATAGGAAAATGAAAGAAATTTCAGCACTTGCTGTAATGTAGGAAGTAGTAACTGTTAAAGAAAAGAAATGTAGCTTTTAAATTTCATTATGTTTTGTATTTTTGATTGAGCCTAACTGCATAGTGATGAATCAGAGATCAGACAAGAAGATTTATTGGAGATATTGGATACTCATCAAATTTATAATTACAAATGATTTCTTATTCACACAAACATTTGGGTGTGGCACTGTTTATCTCCGTGATGGTGAATTTACGGCATGCATGCCAGAAGTGGCACGCAGAGCCATTTCTCCAGGCATGCGAGCTGTCACCCCAGCTCAATTCCACTGTGCATGCGTGGGAGCGGGACGCATGCAGGAGACACATGCGCAGGGGGTAGGGGAAGCGTGGGGGGTCGTGCATGCATTGCATTATGGGTGTATGCGTGCTCTCAGGTGCGCACACGCGCACTTTCAGCACGCAGTGACAAAAAGGTTAGTCATCACTGGTTTATCTCATATTGTTGCACAGAGTCACATAGAAACAGCAGCTCCCATATTGGAGAAGATAGTAGATAGGAATAGAATTCAGTTAACTATTCCATGATAGAGTGCTAAAAGAATATTAAACTGTAGAAAATTATGCCTTTTCAGTTGGCCAAATGGCTAATTTAAGACATTTATTAAAAGCAATTAAATTATAGTACACTTGTCACTCAACACATATATAGTTCTGTTCCCTGAAAAATTCATAGATTTGTGAACAAAAGTTTGTTCCTATCATGAAATAGATATTTCAGATCCAATCCATGTTATTTGATGCAAGTCCTTTACAGATGACTTCTATTTTAGATTTGTTCTCGTCTTTTTCATATGAAGATTCTAATTAACAAATACATGTTGACTTTTTAAATACAAAGTTTAAGCTTCTTATTTTGATAGAATCAATTAATGTATCTACATTGTGATGGTTTTAACATCTTAAATAAAAATACTATTAATACTAACATTATAAAACTTTTGGAAATGTCAGGCAGCCAAAAATTTTATTGTATAAGAATAATTTCTTCCATTTCCTGGCTTTTGAATTCTATTTCAATGCCTTGAGTGCAGCTTCCAAGAAATGTCTCCATTGCAAATTATGTTAATATAAACAGGAATTACTATAAAGCACAAACCTTCTTTGGAGCTCACACAAATTTCAATTTACTTCCCATAAAATATTCACAGTGCTTGTCTTCTTTGTTATTTTTGCTTGAAGTTGATGTAGTAAATTAAATAGCAGAAGAAGACACTGTTCTGATCTGCAAAATGGCTAGTGAGGGACTTATAGAAGAAAAAATTGAAAGGAGAAATTTCTTGCAGATTTCAGCTTTACTTTGTGCTAGAAAAGCTGAGGCTGCCAAGTATATACTTTTTCATCATTTTAGCAAAGTTAACTTCAAATGTGAATACCCTTTATAGGCACTCAGGTCTCTTTGATCGTTACACATAAAGAATATCCAGATGTTTATTTATGACATTATTGCTAATTTCTTATATTCATTTTAATCCTTATCAATTTTATTCATATATATATTTCCAAACTTCTATAGTGAATATTTATTCTTTGTTCCCAGTGAAGAAATATTTAGTTTTAACCTGTGGTATATCTCAAGAGCAGAACATATATTAAATTTAGAAGCCCTGATTATGAAAGATAGATGTATTGGGAAGATGAGATTTTCACTGGCCTGTTTAAAAAAGAAACCTCTGGATTTCTCTTTATGTTGTTCAAGACTTTATTTTAAAAATATTACTTCTATTATAGTACAATTGCTTTTGTTGCATTCTTAAGAATACTGTGCTTCCAGCAAGAGACAGCATTGCATTGTGCTTTCTCTCAGCTCCCATTCATTTATCTAAATATTTTCAGTTTCACAGTGGATCTATTGTCTGTGGGCTTCACTTGACTTATCTATGAGCTTCATTTTATTTGCTGGTATAAAGAGACTTTCCTGAAGATTTAGAGCTTTGATCTGTAAGAGAGAGAAAAAAAAACTATTTTTCTCCAGCAAATTTTAAGGCATGCTAGTTTTTTGGAGATCTCTCTCTCAATAATCTCACAATAATCTCTGATTTAAGATATTGGTATACCAAATTTGGGGAAAGATTTTCAATATAAAAACATAGTCTTTGGACTCAATAATTTCTTCCTTTCCACCAATTCAGAAAAGGGGCAAAATAAAAATCTATATGTCTTTTGGGACTTCATACAAGATTTAATCATCCATTTGACTCTGACAGTGTCACCATTCTTTATTCCACAAAGCACTATTCCCAAATCAAGTAAAGGGATAGAATTCATAGCTATTTGCAAAAAGAAAAAGAAAAAAAGTTACCTCTCACTAATTTTGGTTCATCTCTAATCTAAATGATTATTTCTTTTGATTACCATTTTTCCAGTTCATTTATTAAGAATATTCTTGTTTTACTTCCCTAGAAAAAAGTACTCCGACAAATATGGTCCTATTTTTACTTAAGGAAATCATTCACAATTCCTTAAGGCAGGTTAGCCTTTTTTGTTTAACATGCACAAACTGCTGTTAGTAAAAACATAACTTGAAAAAAGAATGTAGTTGAAATAATTATTAGGGATAAGCTAGTAGGTAGCAGTACAATACAAAACAATATTTTACAACTCTTGCACAGTTTACTCTTATAATAATAATAACTTTAAAGCATTTTCAATCTCCACTAAAACAGAAAAGATATCCAAGTTCTGGGGTCGTGGTGAGGATTAACTTTTATATTGTTATGAAAAGATACTGGATATAATTATTAAGGTATTTGCAAACATTTTACATTTTCAGAAAAGCTTTCTTTAATAAATGATTTCAGAGATTAACTCTTGGCATCAACTGTGTGCCCTCATATTCATGTGGTTGATATACATAATAACTAGACTTCAGGTAGCTATTTGCTGGTTTTAGTCTATTGCTGCCATTATAGTAGCAATGAGGCAAAGCAAATATTACATCTTTTAGAAATTATGTATACTTATTCCATTTCAGAGAGCTCAAGATTCATTATTCACTAACACAAGGATATATAGGTAGCAGAGGAATAGACCTGTGCACTTCCCCCTAATTGTATGTGAAATATTGAGGGAGTAAGATGTGCCATATATAAGCCCATAGACATACAAGCTTAATTTGTGGGTCTTTGAAATTATTTCACAAACTATACTTATCTACTATCCAGATATGTTATTTCTATTTCTTTCCTCCTCTAATATTGTATTCATTTTAATCCAATGGGTATTCTTAATATACATTTATAGGATTGCATTGCTAAAATTGTTTGTTATTGCTTTAGTACAGAGTATAACAACTAAATCTTTACATTTATTTTTAGTGCTGAATATATGCTATAAATAAAAAAATGTGATCAAAGGATATGCACTAAAAAGCTAAATGAAACTTCAATATTTTGATAGCATTTCCAAGTTAGTAATCTATAAACTCTAATAAGTGCAAAATATATGTAATCCATCAATATAATTACAGCATTTCAAATAGGTTATATTAATGATGTGGCTTAAGCATATTCTTTCCCTCAGCAGAAAGAAATGATCCTCTGTATCATAACTGGCCCCAAAAAACTGAATAAGAATTATGTCTAATCATTTCTAATTCAATTGTTTAATTCCAGTTGGTGCATGGTCCAATTTGGGCAAGACTCAATAGATGTGGAACCTAGATGTGATGGAATGAGATTACTTTTACTTGTGGTACCTCAATTGGATAATCCTGGGCTGTTTCTTTTGTATCAATAAATGTTCAATTGGATGTAAAATTAATATCACAGAATCAAGCTGAATGTGAACTTGAACTCAAACACTGAGTTCTATGGCCTTGAGTTCAAACAGAAATGGAACCATAAATATGAATCATAATAACCAATCAAACAAACTAAATCAGTATTATTTTCCTTTAAACAAAATAAGAGAAAAGAAAACATGAGAAAGAGTTATAAAATTAATAGTTTCTCTGCATTTTTCTGAACGATGCTAATTTGATCTCAAAATATATTTATATTTGAGCTATATATATTTAAGCTATATTTGACCTTAAAGTAATTATATTTCAAATCCTATGCAGGTTTACAGGTTTTTCAGCCTTTAATGTCTAATATATTAAACATATTATTTTGACTATCAAAACAAGAGATACTTGCTTAGAAGAAGCAAGTTGTTTAAAACAAAAAACAAAAGTCTATATACACTGTGTGTCAGTGGTAGAATTCAATTTTTTTTACTACCAGTTCTGTGGGCATGGCTAGGTGGTCAGGTATTGGGAGGAGTCAAAACTCTTTTTTTTCATTTTGCAGCACCCTCTGCACCCGTTTTTGGCCTAGTGGGCCTCAGGGGAGCCTACTGGGAGCAAAAACGGGGCACGGGAGAGGTGCATACCACCCCCAACACCCTGTTTTTGGCCTAGTGGGCCTCAGGGA